GCGCGACCCTCGATTCGTTCGAGAAAACGAAAAAACACAAAGAGAAAGAAAAAGAAAAAGACGCGAATTGCCTTGTCTCGCGGCAAGAGTCCTGGCTGGCTCTTCGTTCGAATAACTTCGATCTCGTGCACTTTCGATAACGAGAAAAAAGTCGGATTTAAACCTCTCGACGTAAGAAATATATCGCATACACATAGTAGTATTGCTTCGACGTACTTAAATGCTAACGTAACGCACAAATGCGGCGTTTAAAAGTAGTTGAATGGTTCTTACACGATAAATCGATTCGAGTAAGGTAAAGAGACTAAATTTCGTTTAAAAATGCTAGTCGAACTTGTGGAGACGGTGTCGGCGGGATACGAACGCGGAGAACGGTTTATCGTTACGATATCGCGTTCTGCCTCTTTCTCTTTCGTCGAAATTTCTACGAAAAAACGTCGACTCGTACGCAAGTCGATGAACCTATGTTTAACGAACGATCGGTTAGTTCGTAATAAAATCCGAGAAAACGTGGAATACGCGGAACGAATGCGATCAAGGGAAACGAGAACGCGGTCGGTTTGCACCGAGGATTTCCATCGAATGGTAAAATTCGTCGAGCGACGAGCTCGCTAACGACGACTTTCGATCGTTGCTTCGTTCGTGTGGTTTCACTCGGATTTCTCGAAATAATTATCTCCGAAGCGAAGTTCTACCTGAACGCTAGCGTTCCGAAATCTACCAGAGTCTCGGGGAACTGAACCGAATCAAGTCCAGCGACGAAGGTCTGCGACCGGCAATTTTTCCAAAAAAAAGTAAAAAAAGACGATTGTTCGTTGCGTCCACTTTTTCGCGTAAAAAATCGTTGACCGTGATTGCATAGAGCGAATGGTCTTTATCGAAGAGATTCTCGATGGAAGAAAGTATCGTATAGAAAGACAAAGAAGATACGTTTCGTTCATCCGTGAGCTTTGCCTATCGACGAAGAGAGTGTGTGTAACTATTTTATATAAATCTACAGGCGAAAATAGAGAGACGAACCAGCGCAACCATCAAATTAGTAATAAGTGGTTTGTTTCACTTAAGCGTAGTTACTTACTTAAAGTTACGTTAAGCGTAATGTGTACAATATCCTAAGACGTACAGCGCGATTTCCTCTCAGGCGCTGTTCACTTGGATCGTCGTTCGTTCAGTCGGACACATCGATCTTTTCGAGCCACGATCGAATCGATCGTCCATTAACGTTAACTTTAATACTATGACAAACCAAACGATAAAACTATTATTTTCCTATGCCTTTTTTTCTCTCATTGTTTCCGCTCTCCTCCTCTCTATCCCGCTCGCTCCTTTCGTTTTCATGGAAACATACAAAAAACCTGTGTATACGTACGACTTGCATGGTGAATCAAGTCCACCTCGTTTATCTTTTCTCGAAGGACCACACGGTGTTCGATGTACCTGCGATCGTGTTTTACGGATCTCTCTCGGTTTATTATCGTTGAAAGATTGTTTCGTTAGAATAAAAGTAGCGTAAAAGTCGAACGTGGATTTGATTCGTGCCAGTTCCGAGCCACTAACGTCTACTTTATATAGATATGTGTAAAAAAATTACACGACAGAGTATATATATATATATATATACATACATATATATATATATAAACGTAACTTTCACCGAATGTAACCACGGGAGTACCTTCTGTCGTACACTCGATCGAGGTCCTTCGGTTGTATCGGGCTTCGAATCGTTCGACGAGTTTGTAGGAAGCAAGGGAGAAGGATGTGCTACGTGTGTATGTGCGTATTTTGTGTGAGAGTGTCTGTATTCGTGTGTGTGTGTGTGTATATTTAACCGTAGGTGTATGGCAAGCGTAATGCAAAAGTGTGTGAAATGTGAAAAAAAACAGACACGAAACGATATCGTTGAAGTATGCATAATTTGCATTTAACCGTAGTACGAATAGAAATTCATTAACAAAACAGAAAAATATGAAATAAGGGAAACCAAGTCAACGTTGCTATATCCAAATACAATAATAAAGTACTTGAAAACTTTCCTCGGTTACAGACGAGCTAAAGTACCCTTAACGTTACCAACGATAATAAAAATGTGTTTAAAAATAAAGATCACCATACAACGATACAATACGCTATTCGCTACAATAACGTGGACAATGTTAAATTACAGGTGAACGTAGAAATAACGTACAAAAAGGATTTCTCGAATCGTGTAAATAGTCTCTAAATCAGTAGGACACATATTTAAATCGCGTTAATAATACCTATTGGTTTTTATCAAAAATTCAGGGATCGAGATACAAAGAAAGTCTTTTCCTTTTACGAATCGAAAATAAAAAACGTTTTCTCGTTCGTTTCGTAATTTCCGTGCAACTTTCGTGGATCGAGGATTGACTAGTAATATTCTTGCTTTCGCCTTTTCTCCTCCTTTTTTTTTTTATCATTTTTCTCTTCGTTCTTTTTTTTTGGTTACTTTTTCGTTTTTTTTTTTGTTCCTCTTTTTCTTCGATATTTTTCCTAAGAAAACCTCCGTCGATATACAAGACGCGACCCTCGACGATTTATTTACAAAACGCGACAAAGATTTATTTATTGCGACGCTATCGTGTCGTATTCCGATGCAGCGAAATATGAAAGAGCATACATTATTAAAAATAGAAATGCAGTGTAAGAAGGGGTAAAATCGCGTCTTGCATCACGACAGACGTCGAGTGACATTTTTTTACTTTTTTTTTTTTTTTTTTTTGTTATTCGTTCGTACGCCGTTTTTACCCAGAGGTGGGCAGAAAATACTACCACTGGTATATATAAAAAAATAAAGATGATCGATTAAAACGAGCTCCGCAAAAAATTGCTTTAATAAAAAATTATATCTTTCGAGAGTATGAAAACCTCGCAGTTTGGTAACTTCAAGTTAAGACTTAAGTTGCACTTGTAAGTTTCCTCTAATTTCATTCGTATCCTCGGCATCGATTATATTACAAAATTATATAGAAATTTGCGTTTTCATCGTTTTATACGCTAGGAAATAAGGGTCTATCTTAAGTAAACAGTAGTATTAGTAACAGGAGTCTCCTATATGATAACTTACGAATACAAATGGTGAAATTTTTACGATAAAAAACAAACGTCGACGTGTAAATGTACATAAAAAGATACGTACAAAGGCGAAACGACATTTAAAAAATTCAATCTTCTTTTTCATCATCGTCGCTATTGTAAATTTCATTCGTCCTTCCTTCTTCGTCCTTTCTTTCTTTCTTTCTTTTTTTTCTGTGGTTTTCTCAACGTTTTTACTTTTTTTCAGCTTGTTTTTACTCGAACAACTTTTCTTTAATATCTAAGAGACGTTAACTATTTCCCGTAAAAATTTCCACAAATTAAAAGCAGTCAGACTTTCTATTTCTACGTAAAAAACGCATGCACTGTGCCCGCCTCTGGGATGCACTTAGCTCTGTATTTTCCATTTTCCGCGCTCCGTCTCTCATTCTCTCTTTCGCTCGCACGCTCCGCCATACATTTTCCACCATTCGAACACACGTACGAACATAAACACGCACACAGAACAAAGAACACGAAAGCACACTCACGCACACACGCAAGCCCTCTGTTACTCGATTTTCTTCTGTCTGCCACTTTGTCCCTCCATTTTGCTATTTCTTTCTTGCGTGTAAACTTTCTATCTCTTTCTCGTCTCCAAGATCTCGTTAAAAAAATAAAAAAATATCTTCTTTCCTCTGGTTCCGCGATAACTTTCGCTCCTGGCAAATTCCCATTTTGTCCATTGTTTTCTCCTCGTTTCTCTCGCACTCCCTCTCGTTCTCTCTTTCCGCATTCTTACTACTGTTATACCCGTCCGCTTTCATTCGTCCGATAACAACATTGCACGGCTCCCAGCTCCAAACTTATACTGTCTTATAGCCTTATCACGTTTTACGCTCTAAGTGTCTCCGTTAAACATATACACGTACATACATTGAACTTATCGCTGTACCGCATTTCCATTGAACGCATCCAGACTGTTTGTAGCTGCGTGGTTCACGCGTACCGCGAACGCGATCGTATTTTGCCCCGTACAATCTATCGATGGCGCGCTACGATCCGGCTGCCAAGGAACAGGGTAGCAGAAATCGTTCTGTAGGCGAGTGACTGTAGAGTGGCAACGAATACGATGTTCGGCTTTCTTATCGAAGAAGGCTGTATCGCGCCGTCTCTTTTCAACGCCAAACACTCTGGTGCCCGTCGACGCGATGCGATCCTTCGACCTCGGGTCAGACACGCTGCCCATCCTTCCAAGGGAAGCTACGCTGACAACGTACCTGTGCGAGATCGATCATAGAACGTAGCTCGAGGATCGAAGAACGGATCGCAGCGACGATCGTCCGTTCGGTGGATCCTTCGAGCGGTCCAAGTCGACGCGTTGCGGACATTCTTCGACGATCGACGATCGCGTTGCTGACCCGAGATCGCGATACGATTTGACGTATCGAAGGCAACGCGCAAAGACGTAATTCCTTATCGGCGTCGGACCAACGGTTTCGGCCACTTTTGCTTGGACAGAGATCTCGATCGATGCGCGATGCTTGCCTATATTACAAGCAATTATTCCAAGAACGTTACTTCCAAACGATCTACGGATCGCATTTATGTCTGACGCTTACAGGGTATTCCAGCTTTAACGAGACTCGAGTTTCTCACTTATCGTTGCGCTCTGGTTTTCGCATCGAAAGTACTCTCTTACCGGCTTTTGTTCTCTGTACGCGTGCCGATCTGTACGTTTCCTAACGTGCACATGTCCATGTATACATCAGATGTACAAATATGTTCAACTGTTCTTTGGTACATGCAGATATATGCGTACATCTACAGTAGACACTCTAATAGTAGTAGTGGTAGTAGAAGTAGTAGTAGTAATAGTAATAGTAAGAGTAATAGTACTACTACTAGTAGTAGTAGTAGTACTAGTAGTAGTAATAGTAGCAGTAGCAGTAGAAGTGGTGGTGGTAGTAGTAGTAGTAGTAGTAGTAGTGTAATAGTAGTAGTAGTAGTAGTAGCAGTAATAGTGGTGGTGGTAGTAGTAGTAGTAGTAGTAATAGTAGCAGTAGTAGTAGTAGTAGCAGTAGCAGTAGCAGTAGAAGTGGTGGTAGTAGTAGTAGTAGTGTAGTAGTAGTAGTAGTAGTGGTGGTAGTAGTAGTGTAGTAGTAGTAGTAGTAGTGGTGGTAGTAATAGTGGTGGTGGTAGTAGTAGTAGTAGTAGTAATAGTAGCAGTAGTAGTAGTAGTAGCAGTAGCAGTAGCAGTAGAAGTGGTGGTAGTAGTAGTAGTAGTGTAGTAGTAGTAGTAGTAGTTAGTAGTAGTAGTAGTAGTAGTG